GGGCACTGCGACGGTCATAAATGTGGGTCATAAATGTGCCCCATTTTATGACTTTTCTTATTAAGTGAATTACCGCAGTTGTTAAATTAGTAACCCGGTTGTTAAGTTGAATCTGGATTCCCCACTGACTTGGCTTGTCAGAAAGTCGCAAAAGGGGATCACATGACCCCGGGGCACTGCGACGGTCATAAATGTGGGTTAGTCACCAAGCGTCTGAATGTAAATCGCATGATCACGGGGATTCGACAACGGTGTTAAGTGTGAAAAATGGTCATAAGTCCCTTTTTAAAGTGCTGTTGTAACATTGAACGGTCATTAAGCAAACTAAGTCGAGAACTACCTCAAAGTAATGATCTAAAACGAGGACCAATAATTAATCAACTTTATTTCAGCTACTATGCAACATGCATTAAACTTTAATAGTAACCAATACAAAGTTTATTTCAAACAACGATTCTTCCAGAAGAATACTGGCATGTATTAAATTTATTATCCTGCAGACAGGTAAATAAAGAACCACATCTATTGCACATCTATTGCTCTTGTTTTCCTACTCTGTTTTGAAAGAAACATGTATTTGTATATTTTGTTAATTTTAAAATGATAGAAACGGTGCTAAATATTGCAGGTAAGTAAAATAGCTCGTTCCAGGGAAGAGCAACTGAAAGCAGGAAAATGAGAAATGCACAGATAAGCTATTGCAGAAAGTGGGCTGAAATATACAGGTAGTCCTCGACTTATCACAGTTAGTTTAGTGACTGCTGGAATTGGGTCTGTCTAGTTTAATGAAGAGAAGGACGAGGGGGGACATGATAGCAGTCTTCCAATATCTCAGGGGCTGCTCCAAAGAAGAGGGAGTCAAGCTATTCTCCAAGGCGCCTGAAGGCAGGACGAGAAGCAACGGGTGGAAACTGATCAAGGAGAGAAGCAACCTAGAACTAAGGAGAAACTTCCTGACAGTTAGAACAATTAACCAGTGGAACAACCTGCCTCCAGAAGTGGTGAATGCTCCAACACTGGAGGTTTTTAACAAGAGACTGGACAGCCATTTGTCTGAAATGGTGTAGGGTTCCTGCCTGAGCAGGGGGTTGGACTCGATGACCTCCAAGGTCCCTTCCAACTTTTTTTTATTTTTTTTATTTATTTTATTTATTTATATTATTATTATTATTATTATTATTATTATTATTATTATTATTATTATTATTATTATTATTATTATTATTATGACTGTTTTTACACTTACAATTGTAAGCATCCCCCCAGTCTTGTGATCAAAATTGGGATGCTTGGCAACTGGTTCATATTTATAACAGTTGCAACTGGGGTGATGTGATCAATTTTCTGCAACCTTCTGACAAGCAATTAACCAGTGGAACAACCTGCCTCCAGAAGCGGTGAATGCTCCAACACTGGAAGTTTTTAAAGAAGAGACTGGACAGCCATTTGTCCGAAATGGTATAGGGTTTCCTGCCTGAGCAGGGGGTTGGACTAGATGACCTCCAAGGTCCCTTCCAACTTTATTATTATTATTATTAAACTCAATGGGGAAGCCAGATTCACTTAACAACCAAGTTACAAACTGAACAGCTGCAGTGAGTCGCTTAACAGCTGTGGCAAGAAAGGGCAAAAAAACCTGTCTCGTTTAGCCACAGAAATTTTGGGCTCAAATGTCGTAAGTCGAGGACTGCCTACCGACATTTCGGTAGACAGAAATAATTTAGCAAAGCGCTGATTTTAGCAGTTTTCATTAAAAAAAGAAAGAAATACAAGTAAATATTTTACTTCAGTTGTAGTTTCAGCGGCTGGATTACACAGAAGGGGAAAAAAATACTACATACTCCACCCCGTCAAAGATAGCAAGCATTCGTCATATTTTGTAGACTATGACAGGGGCAACTTTACGACTGGTGGACTTCAACTCCCAGAATTCCTCAGCCAGCTGTTCTTTGCAGCTATGCTGGCTGAGGAATTCTGGGAGTTGAAGTCCACCAGTCGTAAAGTTGTCAAGGTTGGAGACCCCCCTGGACTATGAGAGGCAAAGAAAGTGGTAATTTATTTTTTTATATATATAACTACCACTTTCTTTGCCTCTCATAGTCCAGGTGTATTTAAATGAAAAATCTGGATATTTAAAAGTAATGAATTTTGAGAAAAGTATGACTGATAAGAGTGGTCTGAATACTGAGGGGAAACTCAGCTTTAATACAAAGTTTGAACAGGACATATCATGACTTTAAAATGATTTTATAAATACAATGGAAACATAAGCTGATTAGAAAATATGTTATATGTTGATGTTATCATGTGCACAAATACAAAAAAATGTTAATATTCAACTTGGTTGTACTGAAAATATTAAGAACTATCTGTTTCATGTAGACAAAAAGAAATTATCATCAGAAGAAGAGAGGATCAAGAAATATATTACCAACTAACTAACATATTGATTAATTGTAGAAATTAATTGCTATTGATTGTTTTGAATATATGAACCCATACAACACACTGTTCACGGAGCATTAAAGATCGTTATTGTAAAAAAATCAATAAAATATATATTTTTTTTTAAAAAAGAAAGTAAGTGGTAATTAAAAGAATTTGACGTCATGGACCAGAGACGTCAAGGTTTTAACGTTTCCCAATCCTTGTTCGGTGAAGATGATCAAGTAACATTTATAAAATATTCTGTCTCTTCAGCGTCTCTGTACGGCTTGAGCATCTTCTTATTATATAAATAAAAATGTAAATGTTCGTTTGTTCAAAATCTTAAATCTCCAAAAGTTCTTCACCGATTGCTTTGAAATTTTGACACAAAGTTGCATTCGAATACGCGCGTGTTTTTATATACCTATATTATATAGATGTCACACCTGTGACAGGTAAAAACATGCTTTTTTTGAAAAACAGCGCCATCTGTTGGACATAAAAGCAACACACGCTTTTACCAGACTGAGCCACAGCAACGCGTGGCTGGGTACAGCTAGTGTCAAATAGACAATCCTTTACCTCGAATGAATGATCTGGGTGGGGTAGCACTATTGTACGCGAAGTGTTCCAACACTGAAGTGTCTCGAGAGAAACAAAGCAACACCTGCAGAAAACACAAATTTAATCAGAAAGTTCTCTGTGAATAAGCTCCTTTTTAACGGAACATCGAAAAAATACATTCTCCTGCAAAGGGGAAGTTTTACCACACGGAAGGACAAGCAAAATGTTTAGATTGGCCTCTTCAAACTGAAATGATGGTTTTTGTGTTCCTGCAAAAGCAACAGGTACGCTTCTTCCTATTTGGACTTTTTCTAAGGAGATTTGTAAAAAAAAAATAATAACCTCCAGTTTCCTAATTTTCTAAAGGCAGCGGTAGAGAAAACTCAAACTGGATTTGCGGGCAAAGAGTTAAACTCCCAGACAATTTTTCTACGTATAAACTCAGAAACCTACAAACACGACTGCTCCTTTTAGTCTGCTGCAAAACACACACACACAAAGTCTACAGCAAATTCATTTCCACGAGGGATCATTCTAATGTAGGACGTGCAGCTTATCTTTTTTTTTATTTTAAACAGAATTTTTCCAACTCCATGACAATGTTTCACAATGAAGGGCCGATGCAGATACACCTTTCTGTTTAATATTTGTATAAACAAAATCCTCTGAAAATTGTATTTGTCAAAGAAAAGCAGAAACGTCTTGAAAAACCGTCTGGGCTTCTGATAGAGGACAGAATAATTTTTCTGTCAGAGATATGAGCTCACCTTCTTGAACAACTTACTAACATTTTTTCGGATGATAAAGTACCTTTATCTTAAATACACACTTTCAGCAGTTACTTATCGGCCTCTGCTCCTATCCAAATATACCCCAGCCAGCAAAGTAGTAATAAACAGGAAAAATTAAAAACTAGTTTATAAAAAACCCACGTCAGCAGAAAGAGGTGAGGAAAGAATGGGTTCAGACAGGCCTTTTCCTGACTGCCACGCAGATTGGGGGGTGAAGGTAGAGAGAATTTCCTATTTATTATTATTTTTTTCTTCCGTCCAATCATTTTCAACCCTCGGAGACTGGCTGGAAAAGTCTCCAGTTTTCCTGGCAAGGTTTTTCAGAGGTGGTGTGCCATTGCCTGCTTCCTAGGGCTGAGAGAAAGGGGCTGGCCCAAGGTCACCCGGAGGCTTGGGGCTTAAGGCAGGCCTCAAACGTGTGGGTCTCCTGGTTTCTAGGCCATAACCACCACAACAACCTGGTTTTCCAATTTCCCGCTACAGGGGGTCCTCAACGTACGACGACAGTTGGGCCCATCATAACGTCCCCACCTCAGAATTCTGAAACTACATTTAATTCTTTACTCTAATGACGGAGAGAAGCTCGCCGTGCTCCATGCCCTTTCCTATCTTTTTATGCTTCCATTTTCATTCTGGTTTGTTACACGGGAACACTAATTGAACTGTTATACAAAGTAGTAAGATTGCCAGCAAATTGGCAGTGTAAAAACTTGCTATTCAAACTTCTAGCTATGGGTTTTTCAAGAATTTGCTTCCTCCCTCTCTTCCTTCCTTTCCTCTCTCCCTTCCTCTCTCCCTTCTTCCCTCCCCCCTCTTTTCCTTCCTTCCTTCCTCCCTCCCTCCCTCCCTTTTCCTTCTTTCATTCCTTCGTTCCTTCCATCCTTCCTCTCTCCCTTCCTTCCCTCTCTCCCTCCCTCCCCCCTTTCCTTCCTTCCTTCCTTCCTTCCTCCCTCTCCCTTCCCTCTCCTTCCCTCCCCCTTTCCTTCCTTACTTCCTTCCTTTCTTCCTCCCTCCCTCTCCCTTCCTCCCTTTCCTTTCTTCCTCCCTCCCTCCCGTTTCCTTCCTTCCTTCCTGCTTCCCTCTCTCCCTTCCTCCCTTTCCTTTCTTCCTCCTTCCCTCCCTTCCTTCTTCTCTCCCTCCCTCCCTCCCTCCCTCCCTTCCTCTTCCTTCCTTCCTTCCCTCCCTTCCTCCCTTCCTTCCTTCCATCTCTATCTCACTATCCTCCTCCCTCCCTCCCTCCCTCATATATTCCAACAGTAAGTAAATATTACATAATCAGTTAGCACACTCGGATCTCCTTTGCTTGTTTGTAAGCTTTTCTCTGGAAAGAATCTATTCTCCAAAGTCCTGTTCAGATAGTCCTCAACTTGCCACAGTTCATTTAGTGACCAGTCAACGTTACAATGCCACTGAAAAGAAGTGAGTTATGGCCATTTTTCACCCTGAAAACCACTGCAGCATCCCCACGGTCACATGCGCTTGGCAACTGGCATGTATTTGACGGTTGCAGGGTGCCAAGGTCACGCAAATCAATGACCGTGTTACTAATTTAACAATTGCAGTGAATCACTTAAACAAATTAGGGGACTGGAGGCTAGAACATGTAAGGAACGGTTGCTGGAATTGGGTATGTCTAGTTTAGCGAAGAGAAGGACGAGGGGGGACATGATAACAGTCTTCCAGTATCTCAGGGGCTGCCCCAAAGAAGAGGCAGTCAAGCTATTCTCCAAAGCACCTGAAGGCAGGACAAGAAGCAACAGATGGAAACTGATCAAGGAGAGAAGCAACCTAGAACTAAGGAGAAACTTCCTGACAGTTAGAACAATTAACCAGTGGAACAACCTGCCTCCAGAAGTTGTGAATGCTCCAACACTGGAAGTTTTTAAAGAAGAGACTGGACAGCCATTTGTCTGAAATGGTATAGGGCAGAGGTAAGCAACCTTGGCTCTTTTACGACTCGTGGACTTCAACTCCCGGAATTCCTGAGCCAGCCATGCTGAGGGGAAAGGGAGAGGTTTCCAAGCTGAGCCATGCTGGCTCAGGAATTCTGGGAGTTGAAGTCCACGAGTCATAAAAGAGCCAAGGTTATCTACCCCTGGTATAGGGTCCTTGCCTGAGCAGGGGTTGGACTAGAAGACCTCCAAGGTCCCTTCCAACTCTATTATTATTGTTGTTGTTATTATTAAACTGTGTCAAGTAAGGTCATAAAATGGGGGCAAAACTCACTTACCAAATGCCTTGCTTAGCAATGGAAATTTTGGGCTGAATTGTGGTTGTAAGTAGAGGACTGCCTGTATAGCCTTAGTTTGCCAAGATTATATCCACTAATTGTAGGCAAATAAAAGGCTGGAGAACAACTGCCTCTCACTGTGTCTCTGGCCTTGAGCCTGACACATGCAGACGCAGAGCAGACTTCATGAAATTATACACAAATGGAAACATTCTGTCCCCTTGGTGCGTATCCAACAGCTATTGATATATATATATCCAAATAAGTCCATTATAAATAGTCCCAAAGAAATGAACATCTGACAGCATATCCTTATCGCTCGGAAGCAGAATTTGGCAATTAGGTAGGGAACCTGAGGATCTGTGTCCGCTGTAAGTAACTCTGTTTGACCAGACAATTCTTTTTCAGAAATGGTTGAAATAGCTTTTGTCTCTGCGATTAAAAAAACAAAACACACACACACACACACGACAAAACAGAACACAGGAAAGAATGTTCCACCTCCAGTTCTGCTTGAACTGCATGGTTATTAACTCCAGGATAATGAGAATTTCACTAAATCCACCCTCCACGACTTCTGAAGGCAGAACATTAAAGCAAGTTCACAAAAAGGGAGCTTGGGGGTCTTCTAGTCCAGAGGTTCCCCAACTTTTTGGGCGCCATGGACTGGTTCCGTGGAGAGAGGTTTTCCCCTGGAGCGGAGGGTGCGTGGTTTTGTGTGCTGCCTGCATCCTGTGGATGGGGCTTTGCTTGTTTGTGCGGACCAGTTGCTGGCATGCCGTGGCCCGGTACTGGTCCATGGACCGGGGGTTGAGGACCCATTCTAGTCCAACTCCCTGCTCAAGTAGATCCTGTACAATTCCAGACATGTCCAATCTTTTCTTTAAAACCTCCAGTGATGGGACACCCACAACTTCTGAAGGCAAACTATTCCATTGCTTTGTTGTTCTCACTGTCGGGAAATTTCTACTAGGTTGCTTCTCTCCTTGGTTAGTTTCCATCCGTTGCTTCTTGTCCTGCCTTCAGGTGCTTTGGAGAACAGCTTGACTGCCTCTTCTTTGTGGCAACCCTTGAAATATTGGAACGCCGCTATCCTGTCGCCCCTCGTCCTTCTCTTCATTAGACTAGACCAGGGGTAGGCAACCTTAGCTCTTTTATGACTCGTGGACTTCAATTCCCAGAATTCCTGAGCCAGCCATGCTGAGGGGAAAGGGAGAGGTTTCCAAGCTGAGCCATGCTGGCTCAGGAATTCTGGGAGTTGAAGTCCACGAGTCATAAAAGAGCCAAGGTTGCCTACCCCTGACCTAGAACTGAGAAGAAATTTCCTGACAGAACAATTAAACAGTGGAACGACTTTCCTTCAGAAGTTGTGGGTGCTTCATCACTGGAGGCTTTCAAGAAGAGATTGGACTGCCATACCAAAATGGTGTAGGATTTCCAGCTTGAGCAGGAGGTTGAATTAGAAGACCTCCAAGGTCCCTTTCAACTCTTGATATTCTGATATAGTAAGATCCTATTGAAGCTAGGATTTTCATCTGTACTGCAATAACCATTACGTACATTCTCTTTTTATTATTATTTTCATCTGGCAGGCCTGTACTTCCTTTGGCAAGTAGTCTTTAAAAAAGGAAGGGTAGACTAGGGCAGGGGTAGGCAACCTTGGCTCTTGTATGACTCGTGGACTTCAACTCCCAGAATTCCTGAGCCAGCCATGCTGAGGGAAAAAGGTTTCCAGGCTGAGCCATGCTGGCTCCAGAATTCTGGGAGTTGAAGTCCACGAGTCATAAAGCGACCTAGGCCTAGATCAGGGGTAGGCAACCTTGGCTCTTTTATGACTCGTGGACTTCAACTCCCAGAATTCCTGAGCCAGCCATGCTGAGGGGAAAGGGAGAGGTTTCCAAGCTTAGCCATGCTGGCTCAGGAATTCTGGGAGTTGAAGTCCACGAGTCATAAAAGAGCCGAGGTTGCCTACCCCTGGACTAAACAGCCTCAGTTCCCATTCTTCCTATGTTGTATTGTCCAGTCCCCTAATCATCTTTACTGCTCCTCTCTGCACTCTGAGTCTCAACATCTTTTTTTGTA